TTATACATGTTCCAATGTTCCTCAAAACAGTTTTATCTTAACTTTATTTTTTCAATACCCATATTTGTTGATAGTTGGTAAAAGAATGATCATGACCAGTTGGAAATAAACATACTTGAAATGTCATGTGAGCTGGAGATAAATCATATATGATCCTCACTCAATCATGATCCTCACTCATAACTGCCAACAACATTATAGGCTTTGGACTGATTTATAGATAAATAATAGAGCTCTGTCTGTGATCCTTTCTATCTTTAACACTATTACAAAATATTTTAGGATTATAGCAGCTTCCAGTCTATAAGAATATTGTTTCATAAGAAACACAATAATACAAAGTGCTGTCATATATTGCAAATTGTTCTCTTGAACGACTATAGGCTAAACAATACAATTGTAAATAAGAAGATTAGAAGTTGATTAATCTAAAATATTTACATATATCACAACAATTCAGAATCTCTGTCAGGAACATTCGACAAGTTAAAAAAATAATTTAAATTAAATTGAGTAAAGAGTGTTTGGTTTGCCATACTTAGAGGAGCACAAATAACAACTATTCAGATTTCCTGCATCACTTTCTTGGTAATCTGCCTAAAAGGTCACCCAAAAGTGAAAATTCAGGCATTATTTACTCACCCTCATGTCATTCCAAACCTGTCTGACTTGGAACACAAAAGAAGATATTCTGAAGATTATTGTGAAAACTCAAAATATATTTTTGTGTTCTACAGAATTAATAGACATGAGTGTGAATAAATGAAGACAGAATTTTCATATTTTGATGAAATCTCCATTTAAAGCAGCAAAGTGTTGTACAGTTTATGTACAGTTACAGTCTAGCTAAACTACTGTGATTTCAATTTCCAGTAACCATAAATAATCCTTGAGAGACCATTAATAACTTTGGCCCATTCCCACAGAGGCTCAAATTCTTCCTGCCAGAGAGTGCAGTCCTCAATGGCACATATGTTCCTCTATAACAAAAGTCTCTGACCTAAATATTTATGAACATAGTTCCAATGTTCAGAAATATGGGCATGAAGATAGATTTAAAAAAAAAAAACACTTAAAATTACTTCTGTAATAGAGCACAACAGCGACAGCACACTCAGCAAGCTAATTTCTAAAGTGTTTTCCCATTTAAGCTACGAGTATGAACCAAAACAACTAGAGAAGAGATGAATCACAACATTAAAAACTAATATTAGTGTAATCTTTTTGAGAATGAGTCAGTCACAACAGGATCAACCAATGAAGTGAGCTCGAGGCAGCACATCTGTTTGACTGATTAAAAACACATTCTGATATACACAATATACAAGTAGTTTGAGAGTGTCTGAAAACTCTGCAAGGTGTCACAGGAGTGTGCGGTTGCTGCTGAGAATCAATATTCATTTCCATGGCAGTAGCATCTTCTCTGATTGGTGAAGTGATGTTTAAGTTATTCAACAGGTATTTGGCTATTATTAAAAAAACTAAGCTGAAATGACACTGATGTTAAAGGAGTAGTTCACTTTTAAAAAACCTTTTGCTGATAATTTACTCACCACCATGTCATCCAAGTTGTCCATGTCTTTCTTTCTTCATTCGAAAAGAAATTAAAGTTTTTGATGAAAACATTCCAGGATTTTTCTCCATATAATGCACTTTACTGGTAACCAAACAGTTCAAGGTCCAAAAGACAGTTTCAGTGCAAACTGTTCAAAGGGCTTTAAACGATTCGAGACGATGAATAAGGGTCTTATCAAGCGAAACGATCGTCATTTAAAAAAAAAAAAGGTTTAAGTTTTATAAGCTCAAATGCTTGCCTTGCTCTGTTCTGTGTGACTCTCTCCTGTTCGAACTCGTTCATCAAAACGAACAAATCTTTTTTCTGAGTCAATTCGTTCATTTTGTTCGTTGAATGAACCAATGACTCGAAAAAAGATTTGTTCATTTTGATGAACGAGTTTGAACATGAGAGCAACGAACGCGCATCACAGAACAGAGCAAGGCGACCATTTGTGCTCATTTCGCGTGATAAGTCCCTTATTCACCGTCTGGAATCGTTTAAAGCCCTTTGAACAGTTTGCAGTTTGCAATGAAACTGTCTTTTGGACCTTGAACCATTTGGTTCCCATTGAAGTCCATTATATGAAGAAAAATCCTGGAATGTTTTCATAAAAAATCTCAATTTCTTTTCGACTGAAGAAAGAATGACATGGACATCTTGGAGGACATGGGGGTGAGTAAATTATCAGCGAAAGTTTTTTTTAAAAGTGAACTACTCCTTTAAGCTTCAACAAAAGCATACATCATCTCTTAACATTGCTTGAAAGGTTTATTTATCATTACAAATCTATATATCTATGGAGAAAAGGACAGATTTTTGCTTCTGAAACTGTTGCGCACTATATCATCTATATAAAACCACCAATGATTATTTACTCACCAAATAAAAAAAGATGAAAACATGATACATCTCTCTAAAAAATGCAATAGAAAAAGTCTTTCTGTAGATGATTAGAATTTTTAGAAACTATGTTGTGATTTGCTTTAGTTATTGTTCTGTTATTGAGATCACTAAGCACTGATGTCATTTGTGGTCATCACAAAGTGAAGCTGATAACACGGATAATGAAAGAAAATGCATTAGCGTACTTAGCTCTTTGTAACATAACATTAGGCTCACAGTCCCCAACACAAAAACCACACAGATTTTTCTGGAGGTACTGTGCTGATCTGTTTTAAAGCAAACAAACAACATAATGTTATAATGAAAGGGTTATTTGTTACTTCATTTGTTGCATTAATTTTCAAATAAGCAGCGTGTAATGTGTTATAAAAGCACTGGTATTTATCTAAAAAGCAGTGCTTGTGAGGGGGTTGCTCTACAGGGAGCCATCTTCAGGGCAGCATGAACACAGGGACGGGACACACTGTCCCCTATATGTCCTCTTACCCATGGCCGCCCACATAAGCAGCGTAAGACTGGCGGCTAACAGATGACAGGGAGCTTTGGTGATAGCTGCTCTCATAACGCGTCTCAAGGTCCCGTTGCTGCTGTTCCTTTTGTAGTTTTAAGGATTCTGACATCCTGAGGTGCTTTTTAGATCGTCCAGAGGACACCTTTTTCTCTCCGCTTGCAGTCTCAAGTACAATTCCCAATGAATGTTAATTCAAATGCACACAAAAAACAACACCTGACAGCAAACACTTACAATTTCGATAATGAATTTACAGTGTCAGGAAAAAAAAGTGATGTGTGCAAAAGCTTGTCACTGCATTACTCTTAAAGGGACATCTTTGTATCTTAGAGTAGTGATACGAAGTATGAACCCTTACTACTATGAAACTTTAAGTGGTATAGAAGGTACAACGATGTCCCTTTAAGTGTACTGCCTAGTGGCAAGCTGTTGTACCCCTAAGGTACCATTTATGCACATTTTATTTCTGCAAGCAAGTTTGACTATTTGGAAATACTGTAGGCCAGCACACATATCTAATACATTTGACTATGTCTCTGTTTGCTTTTTCAAAATAGTAACAGAAACATTGTTCTTCACATTATAATGGCATAAATAATTAAAATGACTTAAATAACTAAAATTATTTAACATCATAACAGCATATTAATATTATAGGCTACAAGGTGCAATAAAACTCCAAGTAGGCCTATGTAGGCTACAGTATAATATCAGATCACAAAAGATTAGCAACTAGTTTTGTCTGTTATGGCAACTAATTCATAAATTCACAAAGTCCTACACACAATTGTTAAACATTACTTCCCTTATTGAGCCGGTGTTAGTCTCTGTGAGAAATATAAAATCACTTACCAGGTCAAAGTTGCTTTTTCAAAAAGAAGAAGGGGCAAACTAAAAAAAACAACAACAACTAAAAGCTACTGAAAATCCAGGCACGGTGGCGGGTGTGGGGCAGCCGACAGAACGGGACTCCGCAGAACAAAAATAATGCTGCCACTCTGCAGATTGTAGCTTACAGGCACGACCTTGTATGGCCACTGGGTCTGTTAAATATAGACTCTCTCGACCAGGCGGCAGGCAGTTTTAGCATGAACCCTGAAAACGCGCGTAATTTAATTTCTAAACACTGCAAAACCAACGTATATCATTTTAATCAAGAGCAAGACTACTGTTGTAGGCATCCTCGTGCCAAACGTAATCATCAAGCGATTGGGTGTGATGTTGCGTTTTATAAACATTAAACAAAGCATAATTGGCGCTACGTTACCCCATTTAACACTTTTGATCAGTCGTGTTGTCATTTTCCAGGCAAACGAAAAATACATAGATAGCCTATAAATGATTATTTTATGATATAAATTATTTTAGATGCGTGTAGCAATTTGGCTTCCATGCAGCTAAAGTGAAAGATGTCCTCTAATAATAAAAATAGGGTAATTTGGGCTAAAGTTACCCCATTTAACCCTTTTGGTCAGTTTCGTGTAACGTTACATGTAAATGTTGTCATTTTCCAGGCAAACGAACAAATATATAGATATAAATGATTATTTTATGATATAAATTATTTTAGATGCGTGTGCAAGTAAGGCTTCCAGCTAAAGTGAAAGATATCCTCTGTTGTAATAATATGATGATTTTTGTTATTTACACAACGATTATATATAAATATAAAAACTATTCTTGAGGTTTGTATGTTTATTTTTTTTAATAGCGCTATATAACATAATGCTTTGTTTTAAAAAAAAAAAGCCAGATGTTTGACGCCCCCATGCTGTTGTTGTTGTTGTTGTTGTTGTTTTGTATTGTATCTAAACTAATTTAATTAAACTAAATCTGACTTATAGCTACTATATGAAAAACATAATAACCATAAACACACCCGTTACCTTACTTTAACAATTCACCTTTCGATTTAGAAGTCATTTTGTTATTTTTCCTATTTGATCATTTGAACCCACCCCTTCAGGATCACTCATGGGCTATTCCAGTCCGTGATGCAATGATATTTCGATGGGACTTTCCCATTACACTAATTAATAGAGGGGTGTTGTTGTGGTGCTTCAGCGTGGCAGCCGGTGTTGTGTTTTGCCTTTTTTTTTTTACCTGAATAGGTACGTCTAATTTTCATAATTTACTGCACGAGTATCTCAAATCTCCAATATTTCTATTGTTATGTGTTGAATATGACGTTATAGTTTATATTATACACGACACTCCTAAATACAAAATAGCCAGCTCCGTGCTAGTTAGCTTAACGTTATTAGTAATTATGTGGTAGGCTACTGTTTCCTGTCAAAATTTCAAGCTTTTTTTATTGGCCATTAGTGCTCTTACAAAGTCGTTAAATGTGGACGGACGAACTGAAGTGATGTATGAAAATAAAACATAACGTAAGCTTTAAAGAATTTAAGTGCTAAGTTTTTGACAACTAACTTAACGTTATTTAGCCAGTCAGTGGGCTGTTCAGCTAATATTGACGTAACGTTAACTTAACTTAGCTAAACAAACTCATAACCACAGTCTTGTATAGGCCTACACAATACTCCGTCTTAAAAGTAAATTGTTTTTAATAAAACTAAAAGCCATTGCTGTGGTCGGCATCGTTGCTGGGTTATTTCTTTAGTAATTCTTCTTTTTGAATAGCTCCTGTACTTTTGTAATCTGTTTTAATTTGACTAACAAGAAAAATGTCTTTTTGTAAATTTCAGATTTATTTTAATACCACAGAACTGTCAAAATGTCCAGCAAAAAGGCTAAGGGAAAAACCACCAAAAAGCGCCCCCAGCGGGCCACGTCAAACGTGTTTGCCATGTTCGACCAATCACAGATCCAGGAATTCAAAGAAGCATTCAACATGATCGATCAGAACCGTGATGGCTTCATTGATAAAGAGGATCTGCATGATATGTTGGCCTCATTAGGTAAGGACAAAGTAGTTTTCTAAAAGCAAAACACCGTTTCCATTCCAATGGACATCACTTTCCCTCGCTCTTTTCACTGTAATGCCATTAACTATGACTTTTGCCTCAATAAACTCCTAATTACTGCTTGTTAATATTTTGTAAGATAGTTGAGGAATTGGGATGTTGAATATGGTCATGCAGAATAAGGCATTAATATGTGCTTTAAGTTCTAATAAACAGCCAATACCCTAGTAATATGCAAGCTAATAAGCAACTAGTTAATAGTGAGAATTGAGCTCTAAACTAATAAACAATGCAATATTCCATAAAAAAATAATTATTGCCTATTTTGATTTCATTGTAATTAAAAATGATTTAAATAAAAAAAACTAACATTTTTAAATGCCACAAAACTTAAAAATCTACATTTAATCCGATACAAACTGGTTTTGACTGACAAGTTATTTCATTGGCAGGTAAGAACCCCACAGATGAATACCTCGAGGCGATGATGAATGAAGCTCCTGGTCCCATAAACTTCACCATGTTCCTCACAATGTTTGGAGAGAAACTTAATGGAACAGACCCTGAGGATGTCATCAAAAACGCCTTTGCTTGTTTTGATGAGGAGGGGACAGGTAAGTAAGACTTCTGTAAGTAAGGCATTCACCAAAATAAATATAATATATTCTGTTTTTTGGTATAAATTTATTAAATTATTTTCAGCATTGATAACCAATTTGTCTAATTTGTTCTAGGTTTTATTCAGGAGGATTACCTGAGGGAGCTCTTGACCACAATGGGAGACAGGTTCACAGATGAAGAAGTGGATGAGCTGTTTAGAGAGGCTCCTATTGACAAGAAAGGAAACTTCAACTATGTGGAATTCACACGCATCCTGAAACACGGTGCTAAAGACAAGGATGATTAGAATGAGGCCGATCACCACCGAAATGAATGAAAACTACACTGTAATACACATTTCATTGTCTCCTTTTCCCTACATTCATCATCCCCACATGGGCTAGTGCAAAGGAATTTATTCATCAGCAAGGTGAGATCATTTGACTGTACTGGACCTTCTCTTAAAGTCTATGTAGACTTGTACTATGAATTACATAAAGACATGTCATCTGTGGTAAACCTCAAAGTGAATGAATGCTGTGTTGAGAAATAAATTATGGAATTATTATTATTATATTACACACATGCCAGTTTTAAGTCTAGATGTCCTCTAAAGAAAAATACCAATTTTTTTTTTTTTTAGGTTTTATCATGATGACTCCCTCTCCTTGGTCTTTAAAAACTGACTGACTGAATTATCAAATTTAGCACTCTTACAATGTATTTATATTTTGAAATAATCATTTAAATCTAATTTTCAAATTGTTTGTCAGAAATAAACATCTCAGGAAAATGTTATGGGGTTTCAAATCTGAATTTTACTTTCTTTTACAAGACTTACAGCATGTTTATCAGGCATTTTTGGAGACACAACAAGAATAGGGAAATATATTATATACCCATATGCCTATGAAATTTAAGGTCATTATGTCAAGAACATATTAATATGCAAATTAGCAACAATATACATTGTATTGATTGGGACTACCTATTAATAGCCATTTCATCTTCTAAAGAATCATATTTTTTACAAAGTTTGGTTAAAAATAGCCTGAAACCTAAAAATGAATTGGTACTTGAAAAAACATTGGTACTTGCCTATCCATGTCATATCATGCCATTTTATTTTCTTAATAATCGAGTCCTGGCGTACTTTACAGAGGTCATATATTTTTTTCAACAACAACAAAAAAAAAAAAATCATTTGTTTCATATGCTATAAATAATGTAATGACATTGAAAAAAAATTCACAACAACAAAAAAATGCTGGTTCGTTGAAACCTAGATTTGGGATTGTACAGAATAAGATAAACTGCCAAGGATGGTTACTAAGACAACACAAAATCTGTTTGCAAATGTATAATTTCTGTCAATAACTTCACAACAACATCAGAGACAGAAACCGATGGAGACAACAACCAGTGGTTTGGAGCACCCTGAGATTTAATCATGGTAAAAACAAAATGAGGACTATCGAGCTACAATCCTTTGCTTTCAAAAAACAATTTCGCATTTTTATATCCAAATGTTTTACTGTACAATGCTGATTTATTTTATTAATTAGATCATTTAATTGGGTCCTTTGAAAAGATATTTTTCCAGCACCATTATTTTTTTTCTTCTCTTTGACCAAAACAAGATTAGGAATCCAACATCTGTCAAACTTAGGCTAGGTAACAAAGTTAAACGAGAGAACGTTCTAGATGGTCAAATCTCTTCAGTCCCATCCATAGCCAGAAGTATTTCCAACACTTAGCATGAAAAATATAAACTCATAAGTAATCAAATGCCGCCCGTTCTCCGTATGACAGGTGCACGTGTAGGTCATGGGTTGTACTAGGAACTGCAGGACCACCTTCAGTGCCAAAGCTCTCAATGAGGTTCTTCAGTAGCTCACAGAGCAGCACCAGTAACTACTGATGTCAGAAGTCTTTATTCACGATCACTCTGCTAAGGCTAAGTTTTTCGTCTGAATCTTGGCCAAGTGGTCTGATATTCCTGCTTCAATTTTGTCACACTGAGCTAGGAACCCCTAAGCATGAGGAAAATAAGGAAAACAATACTTTATAATGATCTGAAATCAAATATTGTTCATGGGTATGTTAAAGTGTTTTAATTTAAACTTAATATCAATAAGGCATAATCCTACCTGAACAGTTTTCACAAGTCCCTTTTTCTTCATCCTGCAGTCATTAAAACTCTCAGGCAAGTTCTGTAAATAATGTTGGAGTTCATCAATAAAAAAGTGCACATATAAAGCGGCTTTACTGAACAACAGTTTTTCAATACATTTAATAGATGGTAGTTTTATTTTATCTCTAAAATAATCAATTTGCTGATATGTTCTTTCTTATTGTGACATTACATCTGAGTGTAACGGGTTTTAAACTTTAAGAAGCGAAAAAATAAATACCAGTCCATCGATTTCCTCTAGGATCTTCATGAACTGCTCAGAAGCGATTTTCACTCTGTGGTCCAGTTTGTTAAGAGCCTCAGCTTGCAACTCCTTTGCAAGAAAACCCTGAAAATCATTACATTATGAATTCAACTATGAGAATGACCATATTGCCTATAAGCCTTGTACAGCAGGTACAGTGTTCAAGAAGAAAAATAAATGGTGTGTCCTAAATTACATTCTATACACTGTGTACCCAACTGTCTAGTCCAACATAAGAATCTGTTAGCCCCTCATTGGTACGTAATTGAAGCTATGATGGTTGAGTGCGTCCAACATTCCACACTTGGGTTAATTCAATGCATCATCGAGATATTTGAAGCACACTTTTTCTGAATTTTCAGTGTGAACGCACTACTCACATTACATTTATACTATAAAAAGGCATAGAATAGTGCCATTAATACATGAATTGGTATGCACCTACAGACTTATCTTTTAAAAACATGTCACACATACGTTCTTCAGTCCTGTGAGTTCACCATCCACCTTCTCAAGCTTCTTGGCGGTTTGTTCCACTGACTTTTCAATGTCTTTGAGCTTTTTAAGGTCAGCTTCCTCCTCAGGACTGTTCTGTAAAAATAAAGCAGCTTGTCAGAATCAGAAATAATTACAGATATATCTTTACGAATGAACGATATGTTACATGTCTTACCCTCTTTCCAATCATCATCATTTTACAACCTTGTTTTACTCCAAAGCCAGACAGAGGCTCTTCCATCTCCTTCAATGATTTCCCTACAGTCAGAACAACATAAGGTTACAATTCCAGTGATCCAGGTCACTCCTGCAACAGCATTATACCATTACTGTTGCAATGGCAGACTAATGATAGTTTTATTTATAAAACTGCATTGTTCAGTTGAGTTCACAAACTTCAACTCACGACAGTTACTGTAGTTAATACGCAAAACACAGACCATTTACAGTTGTGCAAGGAGAAAGCCGAGAAACAGTTGTGCCTAAAGCATAGCTGTATTACCTTTAAATATGACTTTCTGGGATGGTGCTGGTACTCCTGTGGCTTCTGTCAGCGCCTCACACAAATCCTTCAACAGTGGTTCATGTCCATCTTGCGCAGTTAAAGTGATGCTGTGTTTGGTCGTGCCTGAGACAGAATATCACAGGTTTAATGCTCAAAATGATCGAGAGCTAACTGGAAATGTATCTCCAAATCCAGCATTAACGTTCACCACTCATTTAACCTTAATCAGATTACAATTGACTTGAAAACTCAAGATATAAATTCATAGCCTCGATATATCACTAATGGTGAAGTAAGCGTCTAACGTTAGAGTGATGTTCGGATCATTTGCAGGCAACGTTAGTTAGCTAGCTTTAACAGCTAGTAACTGTTAAAGCTAACCTCAATAAAATAGCGACTACATTTATTCTCGATATATATTCAGGTTTTAAAGTATGAAAAGTGGTCAGTTATCTTTACCATAAGCAACTGTCACTGTCAAGGTGTTCTCCGCCATGTCGGCACTGTTAGCTAGCGCTTCACAACTTTAGAATGTGTACATTATGCAACCGGAAGTGACGCATTAAATGCGTCACGCCCCTTAGAAAACCGGGATGCACTTGTTTGTTATTTATTTACAAAAATAAATTTAGGAATATAAAAAAAAAACCAATTCATTATGCAACGATTTATTTCATTAGTAAAATACCATACGCAAGAAGTGTGCTATTTCAGGGACCCAGGTGAAAAAGACGTTGTATTAAATGTATTAAAAATATATTTGAAATACAAATAGTGTGTTTATAATACATTTGTATTTACAACATGCTTATTTAAAGTGTACTAAAAATGTATTTTATTGCATTTTAGTATATTTCTAAAAAGTATACTAGAAGTACATTGGTAATAAATATATATTTAATCACACTTTTAAGAAATATACTATAGAAAAGCATACTTTTAATGTATTTATAAAAAGTATATTAGTAATATATTGGTAATAAATGTATGCTTTATTATATTTTTAATAAATATGCTAATGATAATTATACTTTAAATGTATTTCTAAAAAGTATATTAGAAGTACATTGGTAATAAATATATGTTTAAATACACTTTTAAGAAATATACTATAGAAAAGCATACTTTTAATGTATTTATAAAAAGTATATTAGTAATATATTGGTAATAAATGTATGCTTTATTATATTTTTAATAAATATGCTAATGATAATTATACTTTAAATGTATTTCTAAAAAGTATATTAGAAGTACATTGGTAATAAATATATGTTTAAATACACTTTTAAGAAATACACTATAGAAAAGCATACTTTTAATGTATTTCTAAAAAAGTATATTATTAGTACATTGGTAATAAATGTGTGCTTAATTATATTTTTAATAAATATGCTAATGACAATCATGCTTTAAATATGTTTCTAAAAAGTGTACTAGAAGTACATTGGTATTTAATTACATTTTTAAGAAATATGCTAAATACAAACATATTTTAATTATATTTAAAAATGTTTTACTAGAAACGCAATGCTAATAAATATACACTTAATTACACTTTTAGAAATATGCTAAAAACAAACAGTTTTAGTGAAGTTTTAGAGTATTTACAGAAAGCATACTTGTTGCTAAATTAAAGTAATTTTTGTGTTCACTTCAAGTTTAAAAATTCAAGTCCCTTTAATTCCCTTCCTAACATGAAGGCAATTAAACATGTATCGAAATTAATTGTATATTTCTACAAAGACTAGAAGTAGCACTTTAATTATAAATATGTGCTCAGTTAAGCTTTTAAGAAATATACCAAAAACTAACACACTTTTTGTAATACTACCAACACTTAACTCAATGCATATGTATTTCACACTTTATATTATGTGTTTTAGGTTTAACTTTTTTAAATTAATTTGTTATAATTATGAAAAGCACTAAAATTTGACTAACAAGTAATGCACTTCTATACTTCTGCATTAATTAATCAAATAGTATTTTCCACAAAACAAGTGAATACCAGTACTTGCACACATCAACATAAAAGATCAGGTGTACATACTAGAAAAACAAAATAAATTTCTTAAAGCTTGACTCTTACATTTGTTTAGCCAAAATTAATTAAAAAAAACTTGTTAATAAGCATGTTAGGTTTATATAAACAGAGTTGTTTCTTTTTTTGTGGATGTTAGTTAATATTTCCAGTTGCATTCATTTGGACCAATCAGAGCCAATCTTTTCAAAACAAGCTTGCCGGCAATTGTCCAATCACACACTGCCATTTGAACTTACATGTTGGGCGGGGCGCAGACAGCGGATACTGACTGTCTGTGGTATCCCATTATAGCTTCGGATATTTCAACAGAAATCATGTATTTTCCAAATTTTGCTTTGTTATTTCACTGGCTCGGACCTAGTGAATGTGGATAGCACCGATCTAATATTGAGAGAACACACGAGCAGATTACCAGGTCGTCAGCTCCCGCGAACAATTAGCAGTGAAGAGGACAACGCAGAGGTGCGCCGCCACGACATGGACAGAGCAAGATACTGCCAGAAAAGATCTTACTTCTTGGTGGTAAGTTTATTAGTTTAAGTGATTAGTATAATTGGCTTTATTCTCACTTTGGGTTTAGAAAATATTTTCAGAAGTTGATGTCGATGTTCTGTGGATTACTGGCGTTTCTGTTGATTTGACACTAAAGCGAGTTAATCCATTGACGTCTATCAACTTAATTGTTATAGATCTAGACAGTGACATAATACAACTATAAAAAACATTGCACACTGTGTTTGCAGAAAAAAGGTTATTAATGGTGATTAACCGACAGGCTTGATTGTCCCTAAGTAACTTCTTGTGTTTTAAATATTATAATATATTTTAAGCTCTAATAAAACTTTCACATCTGTGATATTTAATTCATAGTAAAATCTAATTAATTATTAGTAGGCTGTCAGTTTTCATGTCAATTCGATAAATAAATTAAGTTGTAATCACCAACTATAAGCTTTCACAAAACCAATTAAATATCTTGCACTGAGAAATTAAAATGATGTTAAATAATGAAATGAGAGATTTTATATTTAATATTTAGCCTAGCCAAGGAATTTGCACATTGCAAAGACATTTTTTTTTATTAAACCCAACCGTGAGTAGATGAGGTCAAGTCGAGTAAGTAGTAGTTGATCCTCTTGATTTGTAACTTTTTGTTGGTGAAAAATAACAAAAAAAAGGCAATAGTGTGTCATGTAGCAGCTAAGTAACTAAGTGACCTATATATATTAACACGTATTTGAAAAATGAATATGTATTTTGCCTGATTATGCATTGAATTATGCAATCACATAATCATGTTTTTCTCGAGGGACTGATTTATATGATTTTATGAGTGGTATTCAGCTTTTTTACATTTAATCAAGGCGTTATCAGCTGTCACCAACTTGTAACTTTCAATAGAAAGTTCTGTCTTTATTAATAATGAATAATTACTTTAATAATAGGGTGGAAGTTACAGTAATGGTTCATTAAATATGTTTCACCATTTAAACAAAATACAAATTATATATGAAGAACACAAACTAGTGTTTTTTCTGCCCTAACTTTGTATAACATGCGACTTTATTTTTTCTTATAGAGCTTCCAGGGATATTAGCATCTCTCAAAGAGGCCCTGGAGTCCATGAAACGAGGTTCATTCAGCTCAAGCCCAAGATCATCTGAGCTGTGTCTTCCTGAAACCTCAGAAATGGTTAGAAAATTCTTTATGATAAAGAAAAATCCTATTTGTTATAATAATTATATCTGACTTTTTGTGCATTAAGTGTTCTGAATTAAGTAACAAAGTGACAGCTTTTTATTAGAATTATAAATGAACAAGTTTATACTAATGCTTGTTTTTTTTTATTCTTGCCAGATTTCCCTCGGTGTTTCTGATGTCCCCAAAAGAGTCTATGGCAGACTGAACAAGTCACGAACTTCTCTTTTTACTCAAGATTTGGCCACTTTACTTTTTGCTATTGTATTTCACTTTGTTTGACTTAAAGGATTAGTTCACTTAAAAAAAAAAAAAAAAAAAACCTTTAGCTGATAGCTTACTCACCCCCATGCCAAGATATCCATGTCATTCTTTCTTCAGTTGAAAAGAAATTAAGGTTTTTGATGAAAACATTTCAGGATTTTCTCCATATAATGGACTTCATTGGGGACCAAACGGTTCAAGGTCCAAAAGACAGTTTCTGTGCAAACTGTTCAAAGGGCTTTAAACGATTCCAGACGATGAATAAGGGTCTTATCAAGCGAAACGATCGGTCATTTAAAAAAAAAAAACCCCACAAGTTTAAGTTTTATAAGCTCAAATGGTCGCCTTGCTCTGTTCTGTTATGCATGTTCATGATTTTCCTATTTGAACTCGTTCATCAAAATTAACAAATATTTTTCCGAGTCATTAGGTTCATTCAATGAACGAAATGAATGAATTGACTCGAAAAAAGATTTGTCAGGGCTGCCAACTCTCAAGCATTCAGCACAAGACTCTCGCAATTGAGCCAATTCTCATGCTTTCACGACAAATTGACTGTTAGCCATTGGACCCTGAACTGTTTGGTTCCCAGTGAAGTCCATTATATGGAGAAAATCCTGGAATGTTTTCATCAAAAACCTTAATTTCTTTTCGACTGAAGAAAGAAAGACATGGACATCTTGGAAGACATGGGGGTGAGTAAATTATCACCAAAAGTTTTTTCAAAAGTGAACTACTCCTTTCAGTTAGTTTATTTATTTATTTATTTTTGTTCTGTTTAATACCTCTGCAAATCAATGCATTTTATGTTAATGTATTTTGTTTAGTTTTCATAATGCTTTACTGATGTAGTGCATTAAAGTTTATCTTTCAAAGAGTGTTTGTGTGTTTTGTAGAAATATTTTTTTATTGGGTTTTGTTGAATTCAAATGTTTAAATGTATTTTTAATACATTAAAATATATTATTTTTATATTAAATGGTTTTTGGAAAAATATATTTTTAATATGTTAATAGTGGGTCCAATAGTGTTCTACTAATACATTATTAATAAGCTGAAATTATATTTAAAATATACTCAGAACGCATTAATGTGAAGCTAAAAATATACTAATGCTGTATTTCTAAAGTCGATTTAAAGTGTATTAAAATACACTTTAAATAAGTGCTATTATATTACATTAAATGTACTTAAAATGGTTCCATTTTAGCACAATTTAGTATAATAAAATATATTACTATTACCTTAAAATTGAACTTAAATACATATTAAAATACACTTAATATACTTGAAGTTGTTTCAATTTAGCACATTTAATACATATTTAATACGGTACATTTAAAATACATTAAGTATATCAAAATAAGTACAATTTAAATATATTTCCTTTTCACCTGGGGAGAGAGCCTTTGTGTCTTTGTAAATTAATCTAATATGGAAATCAGCCCTCGCACGTTCCTTCTCTGTAGCATTTCTGTAGGCGCTCAGCTCTGCGTTATGTTGCCAGCTTATCTTTTATGGTCCTTTGTAAGAGATTGAGTCCCTCCTTCTGACTTTGTTCGGCTTTTTTCATTGCTTCCTCAGCTAACTAACCCTTCAATTTTCTGCTGCCATCTAGACACCAAACCTCTCACTTCCATATGTGTAAATGATGTCCCCAAATTTATCCAGCTCATTTTTAACTGTACCAGTTAATCTTTCCAATGCAAAGCATAGATCTGTTTTTACAGTGTTCCATGCAGTTTTCTCACAAGCTCTTGGCCATCTAACTATCTAGCTCTTTCCATCTTATGCTGGTTAGTCTGACCAGGTCTAACTATCTAGCTCTTTCCATCTTATGCTGGTTAGTCTGACCAGGTTCACAACTATCAATATGTTCACCACTAACTGTGCAAACCCTCCTCTCCACTATGACAGGGGTGCTGATATCCTGCAAGCTGTGGTTTGCTTCCTGTCGCTGGCTTTCATTCGACTGACTTTGTAAACTGATCAATGCGAGGCCCTTGTCCTGGCTTCTCCCTCAAGCATTTCATTTTCCCCTGATAAATCTCCAAACCCCTGACCGTTGTCGTTGTCATACTTTTATTGTTCTTGTGGAATTTAATAGAAAACAATCTAGAAGAAAACTCTTCTAAAATGTGTTACTGCCAAAAAACTAGTCCAGTGGTTCCAAAACAATCCACATTTTTTTAAATACCACCATTTATTTCAACTCTTACAGACTCCAGTGATGCATTTCACATTTCAGAATATTTCAGATCCTGATGTATATTAATGAATTTTATTATCAAGAAAAAGACGTAACTTTGATAATTCAAAGAACATTCAGATCTGAATATGCCTTGCTTTACATTGCTTTAAAGCAATAAGGTAGATTCTTCATTCATGCCACACAGAACTACATGAAATACTTATAATATTGTCAAGATAATTCTGCCAACATTTCAGCTTCAGAGTCCAGAGTGAAGCAAGGGCATAGACATTAATATTAACTGTAAAAATATTCAAATTAGAAACTGCTATATTATGAAATAACATGGGTTTACATGTTTAAATGTCTGTATTTTTATGTATTTATTTTAGCTTGACTTTTTTAACTGTTTGGATCTCGTATCATCCAAAATTACTTTTGTTAGGACATGCGTTGATATAAAGGTATGCTCAGGAAATAATGGAAATTCTTAGTAGGTGACCCAAAATTCGGATTTAAGGTTTATACCAGATTTCTTTAAATTTCTAAAAACTGGAATATCACTGTCAAACAGGCTAACATGTTTACATGACCAAATTCTAATTAAAATTGTGCTTCATGTTCAACATGTAACAAAAACAGTTGATTAGTTGACAAATGGTAGACTGGCAATTAATACAACAAAACATGTCCAATACCATTTACCAGCACTAATAACTTCCTCCAACGCATGTATATAAAACACTGATCAGAGAACAGATTCTTATGTGGCAGGGATCTGTGGAAGGCCAAACTCATCGACCAGAACGCCATCCTGAGGAATACAAATACAAAAACAAAATTACAGAACAAATCACAAAAATAAATATTCCACAAAGATAATGAATATGTATATATTGTCATTGACAACATTATCAATGCAATCTGCACCTTATTGGTTTTAGTGTCACTGGGTATTCCTTCAGGAATGGAGGGTGCAGACGAGGCTTCATCTAAATATGAGCTGTCATCATCCAGCAGTAACTCATCTCCCAGAGCATCCAACTCTGCAACAGAGAAAAAAGTGAAGCTCGAAGCTCCAAATACACACACACACGCATGCGCACGCGCGCGCACACACACACACACACACAACCTGCTTCCAGTTCATCCTCATCGATCTCTGGTGTGCCATAGCTGCGACTGAGAGCTTCCTGCACCTCATTGGCTTCCTCCATCATGTCTTCCAGTTGATCCTGCAGGTCCTATCATCCACAAACACTGGTAATGACTGATCATGAATCAGAAACATTACTAAAAAAAAAAAAAAAACAGTAATGTCAAAATTATTAGTGTGCATACTTCAATCTGATCCATCTTCACTTGTTTATATGCTTTCTTCATTTCTTTTGCTCCAATCTTCATAGCCTCCACCTAAAATTATATATTTTTTAAAAGTATAAAAGGCATGTAGAATCTTACAGTTAAAAAATAAAAATATGAATGAATAAATTAAACTAAAAATGTATTCATGCTCGGAATAATATATACACCAGTAAAAAGTTTTTTTTTTTTTATTCTCAGAATGACATTTTAGAAAGTAAAAAAACAATATGTTAGAAAATTATTTATTTTATTTAAGAAGTGGGCTCTTTGCAAATCAAATTTCTTGGAATTTATTAATGATTAAATGAAATTATAAATTAAACAGTGCTGGGAATATATGGATAGCAGTAAATAAGTTAATAACAAGTATTTACGGTTGTTTTGGTGTCCCTTAATGACTGGATTGTATAGTTGGCTTGTTCCATATTAAATGACTGCTGGGAAAGCTGATCTCTTTGACCCTCATACCTGCATTATACAGTGAAAAAAACATTTAATATTATTACTAAAAACATTTGATCACATCCTTTCTCAATGTGAAATGAAAACAGAATACTAGATATTGAAATAAACATTAACTCACATTCTCTTTTGTTTCAGCACTCTCATCGCCTTCTGTTTTACTGTGTTCTGTAAAGAGATTGTTCATCTTCTAATGCTTACATAATTCTTTATGATTTACTGTGGGATCCAACAATCTGAGAACACTTTGAAAATCTGGGATTGAAGGTCTAATTTAATTTCAGTATTTTGAGAATATAATGTAAAAAAAAAAAAAATGATATACCCAAGGTCAGTAATCAATTTAAATAAAGTAAATTTGTGATCTTGTGAACTCCTAAAGGTGCCATATATGACATATGTTATGAAGCACAAGATGCTCGGATCATTCTTGAACTATGGTGGAAAATATGATCATTAGGTTTGACACAAACTTGTGGAGTTCATTAAGCTTGACTTCATTAAGCTTACATTTATTAAGCTTGGGTTATTATAGTTAACTAAAAACTAAAAAGTAGGCTACATACATTTTTGACAAAAAATGTATGTAGCCTACTGAAACATTATTTTTTGAAAAAAAAAAAAAGATGAAATTAAGATGGCAAATGTTTATTTAAAAAAGAATTCAAAATATGAACAAAACTTTAATAATTAACTATATTTGGTGCTGCTGCTAGAAGGACAACACTGAGGAATGTTACTATTTCAAATTTAAAAATCATTAGTTGTTATAATTTATAATACAAACATTTATAAAATGCCAGACAAAGTCTTCTCAGACGTGGATCACACTGTACAGTAGCCTGAATAGGCTAGTATGTGTGACATATATCAACTCGAGTTTCAATGCTCACTTTTGAGGGTCCATCCCTCATCTTTTTCATCTGGTCCTTATACTTCATTAGCTCTGCGTCGATTCTCGCTATTTTCTTATCGATTGACTCGACCCTCGTATCCACCTATAACACCACACAGACAGCATCCACTGTACATCCATGTCTGACCTATGTGTCTGACATGCAAACACCAATCAGGATGATTCAGTGATGTACTGAGATTGCGAGACATTCACGCAACCATACAGTAGCTACTTACATTGCCTATGCAGTCAGAAAGGTTGGGTGGAGGCGTCTGTTTGCTCCGACCGAAAATTCGGTTCATTATTTAAACAGGATTTATACTTAATTGCTTTCTAGAGGTATTTAAATGCTGACCATCCCAACGGGCTTGTTCCGGTTGGTGGTAGAATTCACACACCATAATAAAAGTCACGGTTGAGGATGATAGTAGGGGAGCGCGGGGTGGCTACACACACACGGGGCTAGTTGTAACCGTAACACATGCTAGCATGACGAAACTTGGTGTATTTACTAGTTGTCATTTCAACTCTATAGAGAAAAAAAATTGCGCCAAATTCCATTTGCAAAAGTACATTTCTTACTTAAGATAATTTTTCATCACTATTTTTTGTGTTTATTTAAAATTAGACAAATCGGATATTATTTTAATCTTCAATCTGTTGTTTATCAGTTGGATAATAGTTCTTTAATGCTTCGCTAACTAGCAAAAGACACTAGCAGGGTTTAAACTTTAAACCCCAGTTGGGGCATGCGGTCACACTACGTATGTTCGCCTATTAGAAATATGCTATTATTTTCTATGGTTTTATGAATTCTATTGAGAAAACATGAGAAACATGTAAATAAAGACTGAGAGTTAATGTAAAATAATGATTAATTATTAATTTGTTTTGATATGTTGTATTTGTGTTTTTGGTGTGTTTGTTGTCAAACATTTGTATAACATTTGTATATTTTTAATTATTAAAAATGCCATTATTTCATATGAAAAAGTTAATAATTGTATTTTATTAAGAAAATATTTTGGTTTGGTTTGACAGATAGCATTTTAAGCTGTCATGGTGATGGTACAATGTGCCCTATCTATGGGGCATGTTGTCACATTTCACTTCCATTCTTTCAGGGTAAATCAAGAAAAAAGTATACACTGTATTAATAAAACAAAACCACATAATTGTTCTAGACATGTGGGAAATTAATGTGTGAAAAAAGAAATACTCTAAACCCTAAGTAGATTTACACAAACTGAGAAAGTCAAAAAGCATTATGTTGTGCCCCGCTCTCCCTAGTCTAAGTATTTCCCTTAAAATCGATGCTTCTTATTGTGGTGTGTTTTTTCTACTCTTCATTTTCCCCTTGAAATTGTTTTGTCCCATATCTTAACCAACCAATATAGGAAATTTAGGCATACCAACAATAGCTATTTAAATAAATGGATTGTCTATAATCGTCATAATCGCCAACACTATGTTGCTGTCTGGTAGATTTTCTTGCTTTTTGATAGTTTTTCTGATGACAACCCAGAGAGCAACATAGTGTCATATTATAAAGTAGCCTAATTATTGCTACCATTGTATTACCAGTATGATTGATATAATTATTTAGTAATTCTCTTTTAAATTATGTTTATAGATAGTGTATCTGTGACAGTTAACTTTTGAAAATAAAAAAATATAAAACTGCGTTTAATTTCAGTTAGGCCCATATGGTAGTTAATTAAGTCTTTCATTCATTTAGAATCAGAATCATCATCTTGCATGGTAATGTGAGTAAATTAATTTTCAGACTGTTTCATTCATAAGCCTGATTTTCATTTTTTTAGCAATGTAGTTTCACAGTAGCCTACAACTTACATTTTGATATGACCATGATAATGTGAGAATGACCCCAATCCAGTCAGGAAAGAAGTGTGCAATTTTATTAATTCATTTCAATTAACACACTAAACTCTCAAAATATATTTGTAATCACACCTGACAGATTTCAAGGAAATTGAAATCTGTGAGGTGATTGAAATATGTTCATTCTCTATGAGCCTATATGAGCTGCTGCTCTGACAAAACATGTTTCACAATCGCATAGAGCGACCTTGAAGCCTATTTATCCATTAATGTCTACCATGGCAACGGCAACACCAAGAACTATTCAACCGAGTACTGAACGAACTGACTCTGAAAAGTGTTAATATGCACATAATCTGCCATGGACATATCTGTAATAAAAATAAAAAATGCTCTAATTTTCAGTTCTCTTATGCCTACCATTATTTTCAGGGGCTATGAAACTTAAGGAACAGTTCACTAAAAATGTCAATTCTGCCATCATTTATTCATCCTCTTGTCATTACAAAATGAGACATTTAGCAGAATGGTCCCCGTCAAATATACTGTACTGTACATGGACACATCTCTTTTGGTGTTCCATGAAAGAAAGAAAGTCAAAGAAATCAATTTGAAAAAATAATTATATTTATACCGTTTATATTATATTTATAAATAATTTATGTTTTATATTAATTCAACGACTTTCAATGAAAATGATCAGCTTACTGATAGCAAATCAGGGTTTTTTCGTTTGTTTTTTCTTTTTTTTTTTTTTATAATTAAGGCTATAGAAGCAGTATCCATTTATTTCATTAATTACCCTCATCATGATGTCATCCTCTAGGTGGAACTTATTTTTCATTTCATTTCAATGAAATTATTTTAAAATGATCTCATTGCTCTTCGCAATTTACTGACAAACATCAAAGTTGTGAAAAAAAAGAATGTGTCTGGCTTGTTGATTATTATGCTATAAGATTCATAATAAGTTGCCATGGCAATACTGCCTTTGTCACACATTTTTCTCATCTGGCTTTGTTGTCACATCATTCAACTGATGGATGAAAGCTCCATAATTTCAAATATTTATATTGACATCTGAACACAACATAACTCATCTCAACACTGATTCGTTCAATTTAATGACAGTATCATTTTCAAATACAGGTAATATTATACAAGTTAGTACAACTGATTGCAAAGCAAAGCTCATTTCATTCGATTTCAAATGAATTCTTTTTTGAAATTGCACATATTAAAACAAGCGGAGAGGGAAACTTTCTAAGACATTCCAAATCTGCTGTTATATAGTAGTAGTACAAGCACATTACTAAAAGTACAGTGGAACTTACAGAAGCTTTTCTCACTCTGCACTTCACTGTCCAATAAAGCAAATAAGATGACCAAAAACTTGCAATAATGTTTTTTTGTTTTGATTTATGAAAAATTATGATTTATTAACAAAGTTCGGGAGGAGCATGTTTATTTAATTAACACGAGTGGAGTGCACCCTATCAATGTCATCAATTATATGTAATATAATTATATTAATTATATAAATACAATTATATATATATATATATATATATATATATATATCAATTATGTTTTTCAAAACAAGATTTTTACAATTAGCTACTTGTAATTGTTATGGCAATAGAGCACTGATGATGTCATAATTTCTCTTTTGATGAGTGAATCTTCCAATAACAGACTTCTGCCTCCAGGCACATACACACTCACAAAACAAAACACTAAAAGATTACATTTTTAAGCCATCATAGGCAGAATGTCTCTCCTCTCTGATAGTATATACATATAGAAATACTTCATTAAAGTCAACTGTTACATCAATAACATCAATACAAAACAATGTGTAAGGCACCTGACACATATGTTTGAAGTGTTTTGCTTGAGACATTTTACTGCCATTCTACCTTTTCAGATAAATGCTTTTTTAAAAGCTGTTTTTACATAAACGTTACTCAAAGATTTCAACATTTTTAACATTGTCAAACATGCAATAGAGATGTACATGTTTCCCTCCAGGATAATAGAAAGGATAATACACTGTATTAAGCAAGAACAACCTGACTAAGGAGATTCAGTTCTTTAGTTGGTTGTTTTAAAGCCCTATCTCCCCCTGACCCGCAGCCAAACAAACAAAAAAACAGCTCAAAAATGCTAAGACTCCCAAGGCAACTTAGATACATAATCCTTTATCCACAATCATTCATAATCCTTTTCATACATAATAATCCTTCAATCTAAATCAAATACAGAGAATGTAAAGCGCATTTCAGACAGTAAGCAATTCCGATAACACTGCTTAGACGACATACATTTTTACTTTTCTGTCATTGGAGATATATAGTTTCCTGAGTCAAAATTATGTGACACTGCTGAATCTGATTATTATTATACGTAGATTTTTTCTATCTATAACAATCTATTGTCTACTAATCTACTTTCTATTGTCTTTTTTATAGAAAACAGGGCTGTTTTACAATCCAAAATAAACAATTACCAGTACAAACGAATGCAAACATAAAATGTGTTTGTTTGTTGTTTTTGTCTACATTGTCTATATTTATCATTTCTACCCAAGGAAACTATATGTTTGAATTAAAATATAGTGGCTAGTAAAATAATATATATATATATATATCACAGAAGACTTATAACATTACGCAATGACATTTTAACCATACAACATCTTTGGTCGATGGACATGATTTGATGAAAGTGATTTGAAAAAAACAAAGATTTGAATGAAGTGATACTGTAAAAATTTGCATATGGATGGACAGACCAAACAAGACGATGATTTCACTTTTTGCAAACTCTAGCAATAGTTATTTTAAAACATAAAGGGCACATTCTCTTCCTCAGATGGTGGTGGTGATCTGTGTCAGTCCCAGGTCATTGGAGTCCTCTCGACCCTGAAAGGATGATAGCTCCACGGCTAGTCATACGGGTCGACCGTGGCCTCCGTCCCGTTTGGCCTCTGCCGGGCAGGTGTGCTCACGAAGAGTGCTTCTGACCCGACTGACGCCGTGCCCGTCCCCCTTGGCCCGACCCGGGCAGCAGAAGTCCCTGAAGCACCGTTTGAAGTTCTCATCAAGGAAAGCGTACAGGATGGGGTTAAGACTGCTGTTGGTGTATCCAAGCGCCACACAGAAGAAGTAGGCGGCCATGACCGCTGTGGTCTCCGGCACTCCGTGCGCGAGAGCTTTGACCAAGATGAAGATGTGTATGGGCGTCCAGCACACCACAAACACAGCGACCACAACCAGCACCAGGCGGGTGATGCGTCTCAGGTTGCGGTCTTTTTCCCGCGAGCCCGACAGCAGGCGGACGCTTTTAAGGCGCAGGACCATGAGCGTGTAGCAAACGGTGATGATGAGGAGGGGAGCCACAAAGCCGAAGATGAAGACGCAGATCTTCATCACTGTGTCCCAGTAGATATACGGTTCTGGAAACTGCAGAGCACACTCTGTCGTGCCTGCAGAAGAAATATAACAACACTGGTTAATTATTAATCAGAACTGAGGACAGGTTAATCATGCATGCTATAATGAAGCCACGGTGGGAAGGAACAACAAGTACATTAGGGTGAAGCAGAGAACTGACAGTCCCATCATCTTTTTGGGATTTATCTTTGGTCCCACATCAACAAATATTGTACTGTTGACTTTTGAATCTTAAAATTGAAAGGTATTCAGTGCCATATTTTATGGATTCACCGATATTGAATATATGACTGTTAAGTTTTCATGTTATGGCCAATAACAATACACTAATTGCCAATTTTAGAATTCTATTTGCTATATTGTTTTAGTTAATACAAAATACAACACTAGAATGTTTCAAAACTGTATTAATTCGATAAAAAAAATTAAAATATGTCAATTTAAGCATCACAACATGATAATGTAGAGATTGGAATTTTTCATTTTGAGATTCACTAAAGATAATAACTTTTAAGAATGTTATTAAATTCTCAGTATTTTTAAAGATGAACATTAACCAGTGTTAGATGATGAGGGACTTACCCCAAATATCCAATACTGACACCTGAAAAAATTCTAATGTTGGTCGATAGCCGATACACTATTTATTTTTCTTTTAAAAGTCATGGGTAAGTAAGATTTTAATTTATATATATTCTTTTGAAAGAAATGGGTCATTTAATTCATAAACATAATTTATATACTTCTGAACTTTCTATTCATCAATGAATCCTGAAAAAAATATGTATCAAAATGTTCACGGAAATATTAAGCAGCGCAACTGTTTTTAACATTGATAATAATAAGAAATGTTTCCAAATCAGCATATTACAATGATTTCTGCAGAATCATGTGACAGAAAACTCAAGTATTGGCTGCTGAAAATTCAGTTTTACCATCACAGGAATAAATAAAATGTATATAATATTATAATATAATATATTCAAACATAAAACAGTTATTTGAAATTGTAATACATCACAATATTGCTGTTTTTGCCTGGGTGAGCATAAGAAACTTACTGAAAAGACTTACAGTAGTGTTTATATCGTGCATCCCTACCATTGTTTGTCTGAGTGCTCCCAAGAACCATTGCAGGGATCCCAGCAGCCGAGGACAACACCCAGATGAAGATATTGATGATCTTAGCCTTCATCGGAGTCCGGAAGTCCAGGGCCTTTATGGGGTGGCAGACCGCCACATAGCGGTCCACGCTCATCATGGTCAAAGTGAAGATACTAGTGAACATGTTGTAGTAGTCGATGGAGATGAAAACCTTACACACCACCTCACCAAACGGCCAGGAGTTCAGTAGGTAATCTGTGCTCTGGAAGGGCATGGTGGTGGTTACCAAGGCATCGGCAACAGCCAGGTTGAAGATGTAGATGTTGGTGGCGGTTTTCATTTTAGTGTATCTTTCAAGAAAAATGAATGAACCGGAAAGTGTCAAAATTAATGAAACACAACCCATCAGTGTGATAAATTCACGCATGAGATTGCTTTCAGGTCATACTTTGCAAACTGACAGCAAATTTCCAAATGATACGGACATTTGTCTTTCATTGGTTTGCCGGTTGTGTAAAGGCATTGTATATCATTCACAGGTCAAGCCCATCTATTTTGTTCATATTATATCATATTTCTGTGATATATTATTCAACAAGCATTATCTGTGCAGTTTTTATCTCAAATGTTGTCTCCAAAATGAGTCTTTACTCACATGTGTGTCACACATATGTCATATCACAGCCCTGTTTTAGTATGATTTTTATTTACAGAATGTGGAGCAGACACAGTCACAAACCCTGCTCAAAGCAGCATATATTTACTAGGTAATTTTGACTTGACTGCATTGTGCGTTTATTACTCCACCGGGGGGAGCAAAACTGCCGTATTCGACTTGAAGACTTGACTAATTTTTTTTTTTTTTTTGCAAAAAAAAACAGACATTTCATCCAACCAAACCATTGGAAACGTTTCAAACTATTGTATAAAAATAATGTCTATCAATAGCTATTACAAAATGTAGATACATATTCTCAAATTGAGATTTAAAGGTCCCAATTTGATAACCAATGAAGGGCAGTAGCTTAGGACAATGGCATTTCTTACCTGATAATGACATACATCACAAGGCAGTTTCCCACTAGTCCGACAACAAACACCACAGAGTACACGGCAGCGATGATCGGAATGATAGGGGACCTAGTTTCCTGCTCGTTCGTCCAGCTTTCATTCAGTGAATAGTTATAAATGTCCGAGACAACAGACTGCCATGTGAAGTTGGGCAAACACTTCTCGGGGTGAGATAAGGGGCATTTGTCCTCCCTTAAAATCTGCACCACGTTGCTGTCCATCGTCTGTCGATTTGCAAAATAAGATCAAATGTCGCTGGAAAAGTTCAGCTGCATTATAAAGGTGATAAAAAGGGCAAATTAATAAACAGAAATTGAAAAATAATAACTGACAGCTTTTTTTTTCAACATAATTATTTAGTATGAATTGTTAAAAACATATATGTATATAGGCTATACACACTGATAACGGATACTGATAACTGATACTGCTTACACTTTACACCTAAAAATGTATGTTACATTGCAAAACACTCAAATATAACAGTCTTACCTTATTACAAACTGCAAACCGCTAATTTAATTTGAAAATCCCAAGGTTTTATAACAACAATAATGTCTGTGCGCAATGCGTTGATTTCTTTGCTCCTATTCAATTGATGACTGACTGCCACCTTACGAGAGCAGCTGCCTCTGCCGCGCGTCCCGTATGACATCAGATCTCATGTGACGGTCTCCATACAGTCCTTTAACCAGCTGTAGTGTCTCACTGCCACTCTTAAATATCGGCGGAAATAAAGTTGTCCTCAAACATTTCTTAGGAATCTAAAAGCCTGTAAGACACTGCTATCGTTAAATAAGTAGTTTTAGAGTTTTATAAGATGACGCGCGCCAAACTTCATATCTGGAGACATTTTACGCGCGCACTGTGGCGTGAGAACTCAACCGGAGAGACTGCGGTTTATGTACAATATAGCAGTAAAGCCACTGAAGCGCTTCTGAGTATGTGGACATTAGCATATAGCTTTTATTCACAGAGACATATAAGATGGGCAAAATCGCATTGGTTTGTCAAAGAAGGATGTGCGTAATTGTGTTGGGCAATGGGGGCGAGACGTAGCCTAAATACAGGATTAACGAGTGATGGCGTGGCCTTCTGAAATGAAGACAGGCAGTCCATCTGTCTTGTCTTTATAGCAATATAAAATCACATGCCTGTTCCATTTGATGTTTGAATGGTTTCTGGGTAAAATAGATACAAAAAATCAATACAAAGACTCTCTCTTTCTCTCTCTCTCTGTGTGTGTGTTAGCCTGCTTATTTATATCCCATGTGTAAAACAACATACTTTGATTAAAGACAAATTGCATAAAGTCATATAGGCCTACCTACAAAGTTATGTTCGACTATTAGTATAAAAAAGCACGAGCATCTGATCGTTGCAATGTTATTATGTTTGTATGAGCTCTGCAATTCAGCAGTCACATTTATTTATAGGCCTATAAGCCTATACATTTTTATACAATAGATTGCTTTAAATCAAGCAACTTTACAGAACAAGTGTCAGTGTCTTATTAATTTGATCAGAATATAGGCATACAACTTTGTTTTCTACCATAAAATGGCTCTTCAGTATGTTCATGTTTTTACTTGCAGACTTCCGACCTGGACGGATTGAATAGGAGAAATGAACCAGAGGAGATTTACATGTAAAAGAAGATGGAGCCTCACCGTACACCACATGGACCATGTACTAAGGTGTTTTAGTAAAGTTATGGGTAAGAGGTTTAGGACGTTCAAATATATTTATCCGTCTAACTCTACAAAATTGGTACGTGCTGGCAACAGACATTATGGGAACACTATCAGCGCCAAAATGAATCTGCAGCAGTCAGGTATATTTCATCAGTCATGTGGTACAAGTCCAAGCTCTCGGAAAATTCAGTTTACAAGTTTAGTTTACAAGTTGGAATTACGAGTATGGATGCAAATGCCTTTTACAAGCCAGAATCTTGCAATTATGGTAATTCCAACAGTAAACATTGCCATGTTAAGTTCAGTCATTTCACCTAAATAGCAATGAAGACTACCTATATGTTGTTGTTGTTTTTTTTTGTTTTTTTGAGGGAGCACTGCCTCCCTTGAACCCCATGGCAAAAACAACAACAACAAAAACAAATAAAACCCAATATGGTTTTCTGATTATGTTACATGATACTACTTGTACATTTTCCAAAATAGGCCATAAAATACTTCTGAAGTAAGGTTGAAAGGTTGAGAAGAAGTAAGAGTCTAATCCAGGTTTACTATGGAATATCACTTTATTATTCTTTGTCCATTCTAGATGGCAGTTTTTGAAACAAAAATGGAATGAAGCGAAAAAAGAAAAAGGGTTCAGCATATGATTTATGATAGTGTGCTTGTTTTTTTCTTCTAACAACAGCTTTGAAAACAAAATAGGCCTACATGACCGGGGTCGACCACAGCAAGAGCTCTAATGGCACCCACTATTTACTCTTCAATATTGATTTTACTCATCTAACCATACACTATAAAAAAAATCTATTACATTTACGGGAATAACAGCTGCGGTTACCAGAGTTTTCCTGTAGCAACATTTTAGGTTTTACAGACTAAAAGTTTTACTGATTCATCATAAGCAGCTCTTCCACAAAATATAATATTTTTTTAAATATGAGAAGCAGCACAGCGTCATTCACACAAACATTAAACAGCATCATGGTAACATGTCGAAATTTAAAAATGCAATAAGGATTCATTTAACAACATTACATGAACATAAAACCCTAATGTACATAACTGGTTAGAAAAAAAAAACTAAGATAATTAGGAAGAAACAGTTATTAAAAAAAAATACATTAAATGTGAAGCGTCACACAGGGAATCATGGGAATGTCAATTTACATTTTACTACTGTAAATTATACAACGACTTGTTCTTTTTCACTTCCAAAACCTGTAAATTTAATGGTATTTTACAGTAAAATTACATTAAATGTACCATTATATATCAGTTATTTACCAGATATGGCCAGGAAACTTTCTGTTAACCAATTTACAGTTTTTCAATGTAGCATTTTTTCTTTTTTTTAAGAAATAGAGTCATTTTACAACTGCCCCGGAGTTAAAATAGTTGAGTTTTACCGTTTTTGAATTCATTCAGCTGATCTCCGGTTCTGGCGGTACCACTTTTAGCATACATCATTGGACGAGACAATTAGCATTTCTCAAAAATGATCAAATTACCAAATGGCGTAATGATATGACGCAGCGCCTGAAAATAGTCCCCAGCTCGGTATTAAGGCCCGTTCAAACCAAGCACGAGAACTATAAATATGACGAAAAAGATAACTATTCATGTGTTCACACCATAGACTGTAAAAAAAGATGGAAGACGCCCCTTCGCTCTTTTCCATCGGAGAGAACTGAAGCCATCAATGTCCCGATATGGCGCTGACATCTTGGGACTTGAGTTTGCGCACTTGCGTTTTTTGAGGGGGTAATCCATCAACCAGAAGTTGAAGCCGGCCGGGTGCCGCCATCTTGTAGCAGAACTTCACTTGCGTTAGGATTTCCATTGACTCCCATTCATTTCGGCATCACTTTGACAGCGAATAACTTTACATCTGAGGCGTTTGAAGACTCCATTGTCCTTTATTTATTTCTAAAGAAACACGACAATGTATAAAATGCTCCATTACATTGTAGCTTATGTTATGGCCCCATAGAAGCAGTTTTTTGTAAATAGGCTAACGATTGTGTCATAACCACGCGACTCTCTGTCGCACAGAGAGATTACCGTATGGACAGGCGGAGAAGCTCGCGGGCAATCGGGGAAACGTGGAGGCAAAAGTTTCTCCTGCTCCTAGCTCAAGGACAGCTCCTACTCACACTCTCAGAATTATATCTTTATCGGTATCTTTATAGTTATTGTGCTTGGTGTGAACGGGCCTTTAAGACTATCAGCCTATTTTAGGCACTGCGTCATATCATTACGCCTTCTGGACTGGTAGTAAAGTTTCTTGATTATTACGCAGGAATAGCAACTTTACATTTTTCGTCGGTCTTAGTGCACGATGCAACTACAGAAGGCGTTAAATAGGAAAAATGTCTTTGAAAAAAACTCTTTGGTCATTTTTTTTTTTGAGAAATGCTATAGTCTTGGTCACTTCAATGATGCATGCTAAACTATGCTAAAAGTGGTACCGCCAGAACCGGAGATCGCCTGAATGGATTCAAAAATGGTAAAACTCAGTTTAACACTGGGGGAGTTGTAAAATGAGCCTATTTCCAAAGAAAGTGGAGTATCCCTTTAAAATCACTTTCATATTTCACAGCGTAGTCTTGTATTACCAGTAATGGACACAACAAACATCTAGTTCATCAGCTTGACATTCTGTGAACGAATTCTTGTTTGTTCTTTCTAGGCAAAAATAGGAGAACTTCACATGTTGCTAAGATACAAAGGTAGGTGTTGTTTGTCTGCTAAGTTTTCTCCCAGTGCTTGTGCTTCATAATCAGGTAAAGGATAATTAACATTACAGCTCCATCAGATATCACAAAATCCCACTGAAGGACAGCTTGTGAAGGGAAAAAATTATTTTAATCGGTTATTTTATTTAGTCTCTCTTTCATTTAGTCTACATATTCATATGCATAAACCATAATTGAGTGGAACCAAAGTTGATTGGAGTGTAATTGCCTACATTAATTATTTATTATTTTGGAAGCTAAAACCCAAATATATAAGACAACAACTTCAATGGTTAGATGACCTAACACATTTACTCTATCTCATTTTGCACTAAAACCCTAAGGCTTTTATTATTTTCTGCCTAAAATTAGTAAAAGGCAGTTTCAGGAGATTGCTGGCTTTAGTCATTAATATTAACCACAAAAAAAAAAAAAAAAAAAAAAAACTCCATCAGAGTCACATGAATCTTTTTTTTTTATGATAGTCTTTTAAAATCTCAACACACACATTGTTGAAAAAAAACAACAACTAAACAATCTCACTTAAACAAATATATTTACATACATGCTGCAGCTGTGCTTTACACTAATGAATGATCATTACTCAAATGTGTGGCATCTTTAGCGAGGGTAAAGTGAGAAATAACCTGCTGAAACTGACCAGTAAGAAAAATTATGTAGAGAAATGCTTTTCTATCTGTTATTTTTCTCTTTTGCATTTGAAGAAAAAGAGAGTGTGTGAGAGAGAGGGAAAAAAAAAGAGATGGTTGGATTGTTCTTCCAATTTTTCAGTGCCCTTGAAGAATGAAAGGAGTGTACTGTGTGAAGGCATCAGTTTGTTTAGAAACAGTTTCCATGGAAACCAAATATTCTTTTATGTATAGGCTATATTCACAAAGGTGCAACAGTTCAGAGTGTGTGCGATTTCATGCCAAACCTCAGACCTCCCAGCCATCAAATTGATTATTTGGGCCCTTGAAATTAAGTGTTACAATGACGACTCGAGAAAGTTGCCCGCAAGGAACTCAGAGATACAATCCTACTCATTCTGCATGCTGTTGTACCAGAGCAAAATAATGAAAACAAACATCAAGGGCTAATCATAAAGTTTCTGAAAATATAACGGACAGGTTATCAACACGTTCTCTCACACCTAAGGGACATCTTTCAAGGTCCTTACAAATCTGTCTGCTAAGCTTGTCATAAACCAAGCGGCAGGTTCAAAATGTAGGGTCTATTACCAGACATACAGTCTGTGCATTCATACATATGCACAAATAGCCTGTAGTGGAACAAATTTACAACAACAACAACAACAACAACAAAAAATATGTCTGCCCTTTATCAAATGTTTAGGCGATATTTCACCCAAAAACTAAAATTCTGTCATCATTTACCCAAGAATGTCGGTAACCAAACACACTGTAAAAAAATATTGTTGGTTTAACTTTTTAACTTTTTAACTTTTACTTAAAAATTAAGTAACCTGGCTGCCTTAAAATTTTAAGTTCATTGAAAACTGAGTTAATACAATGAAGGAGATTGATTTA